TTTATCTAGCACTGACTCTGTGAAAGGGACGGACACCATGTTGAAAAGAGGGCTACAATCTTTGTTCTCAGCAGCTTAGAGTCCAAGGTAGAGACAGATAATATACAAGCACATAACAAAAATGTTAGAAGGCAGCAGCTAGGAGGAGAGCTGGGAGCAGAGGGAATGGCATGTGCAAGGGCCCTGAGGTGGGCACAAAGGTTGGTGCAAATGAGGCACAGAATGTGGAGACAGAAAGGGGGGCAGGAGATGAGGTAGGAGGGGCAGGTAGGATCTCCCTCCTGCAAGGCCTTAAAGATATGGGGAGGAGCTGGGATTTTATTCTAAGACCTCTGAGATGCCCTTTGGAGGGTTCTGAGTAGGGACGGGAAGTGACCTGATGCCTGCCTCATTTTTGCTTAGGGGCAGGTAGCTCAGGCATCCTAGGAGGCTGGACTGAGCCAGTGGGTGGAAGGCTGGCAATGGCAGTGATGGCGGGGGGGACGGAGGGCAGTAATCTTACAGTGTGGTCTGCATGGGGGCAGAAGATGGGACTCCAGTCCCAGCTCTGCTCCAAAGTCCTGGAAAACTTGGGCAAGTACTTTCCCTCTCTCTGCAACTCTAGACCTCAGTTTCCCCATTTGTAACAAATGAAAGAGCCGGGCTAGCTGTTGTGAAGGGCCCACTTGGGTTTCACCCTCTGTGATGAGTCTGTGTCAAAACCCTGGGGCCTCTGTCGGGGGTTGACAGGAGGCTGGGGAAGAGGTAGGTGTATCTGGAAACTGGCTTCACCTTCACCTGCTACAAAACAACCCCATGTCCTTCCTCTTCCTGAATTGGTGATTCCCAGCCTGGGTGGGGCTGTTGAAACAAGGGGTTCTCTCCAGTGGAACCAACCCATGCCATTGGTGAATGATCCCTAATAGTGCCCACCCAGTTACTTCTGCCAGGCTGGGCAGGGGCAGCCCGACTGAGCGCACACATGCGCCAGGTTGCAGGAGAGGAGATGTGAGGGTCCAGGGGATCCCACAGACAGTGACTGAATGTCAATCACAAATGAACGGATGTGAACGTCACCATGCATGGCAGCCTGTGTGTGCACGCGAGCACACATGGCTAGTGAGTGTGACTCAGGGTGAAAGGCTGTAATTGTGTGTGTGGCTTTCTGTGCGTGACTGTGGGCAAATGTGACTGCTTGGGATTGCATGTGTGACTGGGTTAATGTCCACATATGTGCAGGCGTAAGCCTGTGGGTGGTTGTATATGACCATGTTTGTGTGTCTGTGCGGGTCTGTGTGTAACAAAGAGTATGGGGGTGTGTCTTTGTACTTGTGTGTGTGACAGAATCAGTGTGTATGTGCCTGTGAATGTGTGATGACGAGTACACCAGTGCCGTGTGCAACAAGTCGCTGCACCTACATATGTGGTGGGTGACTTTGCCTGATGTGCATGTGATTGTGTGTGTGTGTGTGTGTGTGTGTATGTGTGTGTGTGTGTGTGACAGAACTGCCACCCCTGGACATGCTGTGGGTGACTGCATAACTGTGTGTGCTATAAGTGATTCCCAAGTGGCTGGGTCTGGGGCATCTTGTTGTTGACTCCTTGGGGACAGACGGCCAGGACAGGGGCTCAGGCAAGCCATCTTCCTCCCAGCACCCACCGGGCAGAAGTGGCTGAGGCCAGAAGCTTCGCTGCTTTCAATGCAGGGCTGGTAGAGGGATGGGCTCAGTGGCCCAGGTAAGAGCTGGGACAGGGTGGTCTCTACCTGGCATCTACAGGGGCTGCAGGGAGCAGATTGCCCCACGGGAGCCCACCAGGCCCACAGGCTTGGAGGACAAGGTCAAGGGCTACCTGGGGGTGAGGCACTTGGGGCAGCCAGGCTGTAGCGCCTGATCCCTTGGGATCAACTTCCAGAAACAACTATGGTTAGGATTTAGAGTCAACTCTTCTGCCCTGGGAGCAGGTACACACCTATGGGCCCCTGGGTGCCTGGGCGTGTGTGTTAACTACCCCACCTCCTTAACTGCCTGCGGAGGAAGTAACGGTGCTCCGCCTCCTGTCAAGGTATCTCTCCACCCTGAGTTTCCAACCTGCCAGGAGTGTGGGGACTTCCCTGAGCTCTGGGAGGCGCGGAGGGGGTTTCTTTTATGACATTGTCCTCTCTATTCCCAGGCACCTTTCGCCTAGTTCCCAGGAAGTGACTGTGGAATTTGTTTCTAAATATAGGCTCTGGTGGCCCTGGTGCCTGTAGACAGCCCCCTCGGCCTCCCATCTGAACGGCAGATCTGCTTTCCAGGAGACCCAGGCCCACTGGCCCCCACTTGGAGCTGTCTGTAAAAAATAATAATCATAAAAGTGGCCAATAAAAATGGAGGAGAGTTGAACACTGGGTTATGAGCCCAGGGCACCGTTTGACCTGTGGTGATGTTTGGGTGGTGGCTGTCCTGCCAGTGACACACACACAGGCATTCCACAACAGCACACGGACCCACACCAGCCCGCACCACACGTACTCAGAAGCCCCCCCATGCATACATCGTGGACTCACAGGTGAGTTTACATAAGGAGGTACATAGAAAGTAAAATAGCTTTAATTGCCCTCTCTCAAGGAAGGACACTCAGTGACACATACACACACAAACTAACACGACAGCAAAGAGGCTCCCTGAGTCCCTTCTCTAATGACACATTGTCACCCAGAGAGACTTGAGGATCACATCATATTCAGCCACACAGCCCACCTCTCCAGGTGGGTAAGAGAAACTTGAGCTGTGTTACAAGATGGAGACAGGGATGGAGGTTGGAGAATGCGGTGGCCTGAGCTCAGATTCAGGTGTTCTGGGCTCAGGCACTCACTCTTGGGTTCTTGGCACTCACCAAGAGGTACTATCCGGCTAAATCCAGCTCTTGGGGGGAGCTGGCATGTGAGAGGTCTGGAAGAAACCCCAAAACACCCAGCCTGGTGTCTGTTGCCAACGTCCTGGGGGAGTCTTTAGGGATTCTGGAGATGGGGCGGCCTCAGAGGGAGCACATTTTGCACTGAGCAGGAAGAATCAGTCTCTGAAAGACCCCCGAGGTCCCTGGCGGAGGACGCTGAAGGGAGGAAGTTGGAGAGTGAGGACCCCTTGAGCCTCCTATTTGGGCATTCCTCCTAGGGTTTGGATCTCAGAGTCCCCAACCTTCAAAGAACTCCTTCTCTTCTTAACTGGGACTTGCGGCAGCCGGCGCTGGGCAAGGGGCTGGAGCGGGAGAGGTGTGCGCAGCAAGGGGCAAAGAAGCGATGGGAAGAAGGATCTAGAAGCCGGAAAGTGTGGGGGGCTGGGCTTCCCCCGAGGGCAGGACTGGCGCCAGGACCTGGTCCTTCTGAGTGCGGGGTCCGGAGCCCCTGAGAGCTCTGGGGCCTTCCTGAAAACCCCACAGCAGGACTCCACCAGCCCCAGGGAGCCTGTTAAGTCTTGAGATGGAAGGGCCGTGTCTAGTACGCCCCCTCTACCCTGAGAACCGAGTATTTGGGAGAGGGATGCCGGCACCCCACAGGTTGGGCAGCCACGTCTAATTGTGGCCTCCACTCCTCCAAGGGGGCTGAGCCCTTAGCAGGCTGAGCCCACAGTCTCCTGGGCACCCCACTGGGGAAGCTGCTGGGGTTTCCTTTCCGCCTCTAGCCTGAAGGCGCAAAGCCTAGGGAATGGCAAGGAACTAGGTGCATTTCCAGCAGAGGCTGTGTGACATGGGCAGGTCCTCACCCTCTCTGAGCCTAATTATTTGTTTCAAACACAATCAACCTAGGCACATCTTCTCCCCTCCCCTCTCTATCCCACTCACCCAATTTCCCTCCCTCCAAGGGACACCGTGTACTGGTCTGAGGCTGTGATACATATGCGCCAGGGTTTGGGAACAGAGCAGGACTGAGAACAGAACGCTGAGGTCTGGGGAGAAGAAGTCAGCGTCTTCCCATGTTTCCTCTCATCTGGCTAAGTGCTCAGGAATCTGGGGCTGTGTGCCCATAGGCCCTTTGCTGGGTCCCTCAGCTTCCCTGGTGAGAGTTGGGAGGGGGTGTAGAAACAGAAGAAAGACAGATCTAAGCCTTTACCCCCTTGGACTCAAGGCCTTTCGTTTTAAACTGAATGTGCTTTTAGGTGCTTAAAAAGTATCCTTTGCACTTACCCCGTCCAACAGACCTCTTCCCATTCCCCTTCGCTTCCCTGGTTTGGTAGAGAAGCCCGCCTTAGAAAAGAGGAGCTCCTGGCTTCTGGAATCAGACTACCTGGTTCAAATGCCAGCAAAGGATGACCGCGGTGGCCAGAGCCCCAGGAACCATCGTCTCATAGAGCTGCTGAAGAGCTAAATGAGCAAGTGAAAAGAAACCACATTGCAACAGCTCCTGGCTTTGGTACATCTTGGCTATTACTGCACCTCAAATGTTAACAGGTTTTTTTGAGCCTCAAAGATCCACACTTCTCTCTTTGTGGCCGTGTGGACGCAGGCAGGGCTCTTCTGAGACTATGAGTGCAAAACACTGGGGAGGAAGGGAGACAGGGGTCTTGAGTCATGTTAAGGGAATTTCTGCAGGCTGCCTGGGACTCAGACTGGAAAGGAGTGGGTGGGGGCACTACGGGCCAGCCCTGAGCTTTTGGGGACATTCGATGGCCCCCGCGGAAGCATCAAAAGCGAAGCTAAGTTTTGTCTTTCCTGACCAGCCTGGAAATTGAATGGGGTCCACAGCAGAGAGTGAAACAAGGCAGGGAGGACCTCAGAGGAGGAGTCACTCCCGTGCTGTGGCCAAAGGCCTCTGTGGGCACCCAGGCCTGGACCCCTTTCCTCCGTTGCTTTCTCTCTTTTGTGATCCTCAATCGCGGCCAAGTCGGGCAGGCCAAGCTGGTCAGCACCCTGGTTCCTTCTCTTAGCGTGCTGCCTCCAAAATGGAAACAGATAAGTCAGCCTGTATTGTCCACTGTCCACTCCCCAGAGAAAAGCCTCCGCCCCTCACACCGCAGGTTCAAGAAGAAAGCAATGCAACCCCCAGAGATTCTCTTACTGTATTTATATTGTGTCTACAATGGAAAATGATTTCTCTAAAGGGAAAAGGAGTACAATTTATTCTTTCTCTCAGTGAGAGCGTGCAGGTATTAATGCCGAAAATTTCGTTTCTGATTTTTCTCCTTCCTCATTGAGGAGGAGTTATTCCAGGCAGGAGAAAGGATTGCTCGGATGGATGTGGGGGATCTAAGGTGTGGATGGGAGTGGGCAGCAGAGTGAAGAGATTCCTGATTCCCAGAATCCCGGGTCCCGAGTTGAGACATTCAAGGTGCGGGCTTGATGGCAGTTTAAGTATCCCGTAAGCTGCATTCGCGCGCGCCTCCAAGGTCATCGCCCTGAACGCTGTAAGTGGGGGCTTTTGCTCCACACCCGAACCTCCCGGTTAGAGATTGCACTATTCCTCGATTTTTCTCCTCCGTTGAAAAAAAAAGGGGGGGGAGAGTTTTTCAATCCCTGCCTTGTAGAACCCTTTGAGGGGGCTCCGGAAAGCCATGAGTTTGGGGGCGGAAGCGCCTTGCAGGCCTCAGAACGCGCCGCAAAAGTGTGCAATTGTCCCCGGGGCGCTCAGTTGTTGTTCGACGGGACTCCGGGGTTGCCATGGTGACCAGGAAACCAAGGGCCCTTGCGGAAACAAACGCCAGGAGCTTTTCCACGGCGACCCTCTGTCAGTTGCACCCCACCGAGAGCCTCTTGTCATTTTCACCCTAGTGTTTTCCGGGTGTGATTGTGGCCGGGGAGAGAGGCGTCCCGGTCCCCGCTTCCGGACCCTTCTGTCGCGGCTGCCCCGAAAGGCCGGAAACCCAGCGCCAGGAGGCCATCGGAGACCCGTTGCGGCGCTCGCGGGCCCGGGCTGAAAGGGAAGAAAAATTAGAGGTCTCGACCAAGCAATCGTTTTGGTGACGGATCCCTCCAGTTTGGGGTTTGGCCGCCCTCCTCACCCGAACCCCCACCCACCTCCCTTCACCTCCTCAAGGTCATTACTACAGTTTTCACTCGCAGCTCCAGGAGGGGTGGCCACCCCCACCCCCACCCCTTCCCTGCAGGAGCAGGGCTCCTCCGCAGCTGGGGCCTGTAGCCTCAGCTCCAGGCATTTTTCTCCTCAAAGAGAGGAAAGAGTAAGGCACGCGGGCGTTAGCCGTGCAGATTCGGCTAACTATTCCAGCGTCAATAAAACAATGTTTTAGATTCTCTTGACCCAGGAAGGCCCAAGTCCCGAAAGCCTGGTCAAGATCTTAGGAATTTCCGAAACCACTTGGTCTGGCTCATTTTTTGGCCTTTGAGTGAATGCTACGAGTCATTGGGTTCCTTCGGGAGGTATCAGGGTGAGCTTTCTTCTAGACGGTCATTATTCTCACAGCTCCTGCCTCCTTTGTTGTTGCTTTGCTGCTTCTGAATTCTGACTCTGCAGTGTAGACAGAGAGGAACCATCGCCCTTTTCCCCTTAAATAAAGCGCTTTATGAAACATCGGATCGAATTCTCTCCAGTGGGGACGCCTTGCCCTGTGCGCCTGGGGCTGGCTGGAAAGAGGCCGGCGAGCAGCCAGAACTGGAGACGTAGTTTCATCTCTGGTTTTGAATCCGGCCCTTTGAGCAAGCTTAACACGTGTGGATTTAATTTCCCTCTCTTTCTTGCTCTCTTTTCTCCCCCCCCCTCCATGAGGGAACAAGAAAAATAGTCTGCCGTGTCGACAGCGCGACACCGTTCCCTTTGCCAAAGAAAATTTGTCTTTCCAGAGCCCCGGAGAGCAGCAGGCTCCCAAGTTTCCACTGCACCCTCCAGTTGAGGGAGGGGGTACCCAGACAGGCCCCCCGCCTGCATCCCAGACCTGGAGGTATTAGCTTGAGTCTCTGTCTTACCGGGTCAGAGGCCTGGAATTCGGTCTATGTTCCCCCACTTCTTCTGAGGCTGTGGGGATACGCTGATCATGCAAACATGGTGACTATACCCAGAGGCCTTTCTACAGGTCCTGGGCGGTAGATATGGCTGGAGTTCTCAGGCTGAGTGCAGCCCCCGGGATAGGAGGCAGCACCAGGTTCTCAGCTCCAGACCCTCACCCTTCTCCCCCACTGGGGACCCTCACATTGGAGGGGGGCAAGAAGCATGCTCCTTTGCACCCCAAGCATGGCTTGTTACCACCTCTGGATCTTGCAAACCTCCAGCCTTGATATCTCATCTGGGCCTCCAGAAAGAAGTTCCCATTCCACTTCTCATTTCATGACCCTGACTAGGAGGGGGAAAAAAAAAAGCATCCACCTAACCTGGGGGGGTGGGAAGGAGTATTTCCAAAGCACAAGAAACAACAGCAACATGAATAATGCTAAGTAAAATAAAGTAGTAATAATAATTGGTGAAAAGACTGGAGAATATTGGATATTAAAATAATAACAACAGCCAGCCTTCCTCCCGGATACATCCGGTCAGAAGTGGGGAAGCTAGGAACCAAATAAAACATTGGGAAGAGAGATACTGCAGTCCTGGAAAAAATATAATAGAGCCAGTTTTAACTAGGCAGGAGGGAAAGTGACCCCCTGAGAAATGAGGGGAATTCCCACCCTCGGCCTGACCCTCTCTTTCGGAAAAAACCCGAGTTGGTCAGCTTACTTTTCTCATCATTTCTATTGTTATTATCATTCTTATTCATTTTCCCAGACCCATCTGCACTTCTCCCTACTTTTTTCCTTCAGTGGAGACCGGAGTCAGAGGGAGACACATAGGAAAGAAACAGAAAAAGGGTGAATGCTTAAGCGAGCTCTCTTTTGAGAGGAAAGAAATTGGATGCGACTTTCTTAGAAACAAGGCAAGAGGGAAGAAAAAAAAGATCAACGAGCCCTCAATCCTCCCTTTTACTTAGTTTTTCACTTTTTAAAATAGGAACCTCCGCTCTCCTAGCAGTTGCAGTATTAAAATCAGGACAGAAAATTTTTTTGAAATGAGGAAAATAGATTTCCGGAGAAAACAGAGCTGGGAGCGGGTGGGAAAAAACCATCGGTCCTCGGAAAGAAGGAAGGGATGCTACGTGTTGCAGCCTCTCTGTCCAGTTTACTGCCCAATGATTGGGGAAAAAGAATCGGGATTCTCAAGTCTTGTTGAGGTCTTTATTTATCCTCCCGCTGGCGCGGCCTCCGGAGCGTGTGGGAAAACGGGTCTGGGAAGCTGAGCTTTGCGGAGTCCTTTGTGAGCCAGCGGGCTGGTTTTGGGGCCCGGCACCGGCGATTCGAGAGAAGGGAGGCAAATGCAAAGGAATTCTCCCTGCTTAGGGTTTCGCCTTTGCCTTTCAGCTCCAGCGGGGCCGGAGGCCTCTGTTTCGGGCCCACCTCGGCCGGCCCAGAGTTCACAAATAGGAACCCATCTAGAGTCTTTGAGCAAAGGATTTCGGGTTGCGCTCTTGGCATCTGGGAGCAAACGCTGTACCCATGGCATGCCTTGGATTGGGGGGGGGAAGATAATTATGAATAACTTGGGAAACGAAAGCGAAGGTCGGGGAAGTCACTGAGGCCCGGCCTAGAGTGGGGACACGGTCTCTGCTTGCTGGTAGCTGCAGGGTGTGCGGCCCCGGCTGGCCCGGGCGTCCGCGTCCGGCGCTGGAAACCACTGGCTGCTCTCCCCGCGGGCCTGACCTTAGCTCGTCCTGGGGCTGCTCGGTCGACCGCGTTCCTGCACTTCGTGCCGCCGCTTCAGCCCTGGACCGACCAGGCCTGGAGCCAGGCCAAGCCTCGGAAAGCCCTGGGGGCTGGGGCTGCGCGAAAGCCGGGATCGAACCCTAAAGCTGGGGGCAAGTCCAGATTCCGACGGGCCGGCTCCCTCGGGGCCCCTTGGTGGGGAACTTACCCTTCCGGAAGGCCCGGCGCTCGCTCGCTCTGTGCTGGGCAGGCCTAGGTCTTCCCTCCGCGCCGCCGGGGGCATCTATGCAGCACAGGATTCCCCACTGACCCTAGCGCGCTTCCAGCTGCGCGCAAAAGCTCGCGCGCATCCTCCACGGGGCTGCGTAGAAGTGGTGCCCATCGATGAGACAAAAATTAATACTCGTTATGACAAAACACAATAGAGTGCCTCGTTCCTCTGCAGTCCCCGGCGCTATCATTTTTCTCTGCAGAAATCACCCCTTCTCCATCCCCACTCCACCACCCACTCGCACCCCGCCCCCGCCGGGCCGCGCTGGGATGAGTTGCATCCCCGGACCAAGCTAAAGGACCATTCGCAGAAGTGACTTTTTTTTTTTTTTGGTCTCAATAAGAAACATTGTGGCCGACTCGCTTCCTCCCAATGTCTCTTTCATTTCCCCTCCGCGATAACCCAGCAATTACTTCTATGCAGTGTCTGCAAGGGGACACTGAGTTATCGCGTCCGAAACGTAACCCGCTACCGAGGCTCCGCAATAGTCACTTGCCGAGAGCTCCTCCTCTGAAAAAAATACTTTTTAAATAATAAGAAGACTCTCTCGCCTCCTGCAAGACACCTCGTTTCCCCTTGGAACAACGTGATTGCTTTCCAATCGTGGGCTGAGGTGGGTTCCCACTGCCCTTCGCCACAAGGCCTCCTCCCCCTCCCTAAGAAAATCGATCTTGGCTCTATTTGTGTCTGAAGTTCGCCACCCCCATTTCCCCAGAGGGCGCTGGGTTTGTTTATTTCTTTATTTATTCCCGTGGCCGAGGCGTCCGGGACTTGTGGCTGCGCAGACCTGGGAACTGATAGGCGAAGACGGAGAGAAATTAACCTCCCGCCACTGCCCCCCAGTCGAGCGTGACAGCGCGCGCGGTTCGGTTGCGTGACTCGTGACGTCTCCAAGTCCTATAGGTGCAGCGGCTGGTGAGATAGTCGGTATCGCCTGGTCGCCTCTTTATTTTATTGGGGTATGCCTGGTAATAAACAGTAATATTTAATTTGTCGAAGACCACAAACCAACTTCGAGCTGGGAGGTACATGCTACTCTTGACAGACGCTGGAAGAAGGTTTGGCCTAAAAGGGGTCTCTTTTGGGGGTCTTTTTCAAGCTCTTCACCTGGGGCCCCCCCCTCCCCAGCGAGGCGTCACTCCAGGCTTCTGCACTGGAAAGAAGAGGTGGGATTTTTGGAGGTGAGTGTCGCCCTGGAGAGCTGGGGGTGGGGGCAATAGGTTTCTCTCAGCTTTTTGCCTGCCCCTGGCCCCCCTAGCTTCCCACCCCAACTCGGCTCTGCTGAATCCCCCCCTCCCCCGTTCCAGAGCTGCTGCTGTTTCACCCTCAAAATAAGAATGCACGCTCTTGCATTTTGTCTTGGGGTGTCACCTGGCAGAATGGATTCGCCCCTCTCGAGGTTTCAAAATCCCAATTTCGCTTGGTGGCCCCCGCACCATCTGCGCTCCACAAACTTAAGCGGAATCTTACAGACTCTCGGGGGAGTGCAGATTTTTTCCTCTCGGGAGGGGCCTGCAGGTTATTTATGGGAATTTATTTTATCCGCAAATCTCTGAGAATTTGAAGGGATTGGAGAGGTCTTTCTGGATTTCCCTTTCCTTTTGCCAGAGATGCAGACATTCCGGTTTTGCCCGGGGGGTCGCCTCCTCAGCAAGCCCAAAGTCCTCTGAGCTGACATTTTGGAAGGGTGAGGGTGTTTTCACAAATAAATAAACGGCTTCGGTGAAAGGCTGTTTGAAAACAAACCTGGAAGGTAGAGTGAGAGCTGTAGCAAATGCTTTGGGTTGGTTTTCTCAGAGGTTGCCCCACTTTTAGGGTTGGATAGTCAGTCCACTTTGGAATTCTGTAGCGATTTATCAGGCCCTGTCCTGGGATTTTCATCCCAGAGGCCACAGAGGGTTACACTGAGGTGGCAGCTGATCTCCAGGGCACTTCCCCCTCCATCCTTTTACCCAGACCTTGCCCTGCAGGTCCAAGTCTCTCATCAGAGCTCCAGAAAAGAACAGGGTGAGGGGGTACAGGAGACTAGGGTGGGGCGGTAAACAGACGGAGAACCCTGACATTTATTCCAATCAAGAGTACTTGGTGCTCCAATCTGGGTCTGCTCAGGCTAAGACCTACTGACTGTGTTTATGCTTCTATTGACCTCTTCAACTCGACCCTCAAAATAATACATTTCAGATAGGGGGAGGGCAGGGAGAGGGGCCGATGGGAGATGAAAATCCCGGGCAGCCCCCAGTGACTGTTTGATTATTTTAATAAAACTGGCCGCTGCCTTGTGTACACCTCCTGCTCGGGAGGTCTGGTGGCCCTGGGGGTGGGGTGGGGTTGGCATCTTTGATCTCGGCCCCTATCCCAACGCACCTTCACCCTGCCTTCACCCCGGAGTCACCACTGAGAGTCTGGGTGATGAGTGGGGAGGGGGAGATGTCAGGGCGGCTAGCGGCGGCCGGCTGGGCCAGGCGGGGTCACACAGCTCTCAGTCTTGAGGTCAGCGCTAGAGAGAGAACGCGGGCGAAGCTGCAGAGGAAGAGCGCGGCGTGTGTGTGTGTGTGTGTGTGTGTGTGTGTGTGTGTGTACGCGTCGTGCGTTCAGACTCCGTTCTCTGCTCAGCCCGCGTCACCGAGATTACTTCCCGGGCAGAAGCCGACCGGGTTTGCGATGATTTGTGCAGGATTTTTTGCAGCCACCGAGCCGCACTCAGAGCAGCGGAGATGGATGGACGCTGGGAAGGGGGTGGAGAGGAGGGGGTGATCTCCAGGTCTGGGTTTGAGAGTCGTGTTGTGATGTGAGTGTTCGGGAAATCTAATGGAAAATGTGGTTGGGGGAGGGAGTGGGAAGGGAGAGGGAGGGAGGAAGGGAGCGAGAGAGGGAGAAAGGGAGGGCGGGCGGGCGGGCGGGCGAGGGAGAGAGAGAGAGAGAGAGAGAGAGAGAGAGAGAGAGAAGCAGTGTGCAGTGGGAGCTAGTTGGATAGGCAATTCCAGTACTTTGTGAGCATCAAGGCAGCCCAACGTCACTGAGCTCAGCTGAGTCGGCTTGTATTTCTCAGAGAGAGAGAGAGAGAGAGAGAGAGAGAGAGAGAGAGAGAGAGAGAGAGAGAGAGAGAGAGAATCTTACCTCGGATTCCAGAACTTTAACCCTGAAAGCGGCGCTCAGAGAGGACTTGGACCATTCCCACGGCTACCTCTTGAATCCCAACTTCCCTCCCTGGTGGTGCCAGGGAGGAGCAAGGCACTGAGTTTAGACTGTTGACGGTGTCCTCGAGGCTGCTCTTGCTGCGTCCTTTGGAGCCCTTCTGGCGCCTGACAACTTGGAAGTCTTTAGGGAGAGCAGCGAAGAGCTGAGGAGGTGTGTGTTGGAGGTGGGCCGCGGCTGCTGAGGCTCCAGCGGTGGGGTGCTCCTTTGTAGGCAGCCGCAGCCGCTAGTCTGGGCACGCCGTCCCCCGCTTAAACCCGGAGCCACCATGCCGGCGCCCCCGCCTCGCCGCCGGCTTCCCTGCTAGGAGCACAAGGGATGTGGTGAATGCGCCGGCTTCACCGAGCGAGGTAACCTTGCCCGAAGATGGCCCGGGAGGCTCGGGAGGGAGCCCCCCCGGCTGAGTGGGCTCTGGGAGGCGCGCCTGGAGGGGCTGCAGCCTCGTCTTGGACTCTGCCGGGCCCGGTTTGCAGAGATTTCGAGCGGCCGGGAGCTCCTGGTGCGTGGGGCCGAGCAGGCGGCCACGGCCAAGCGAGCGGCGTGGAGGTTTCCAGGGCGCGCGGCCTGGTTCTGTCAAACCTTATCTTGTTCGCCCACGCCAGCCCCGAGCTCCCTGGGACCCTGGTGAGGGTGGGATTGTCCCGGTGACACGCGGTGCATGGGAGCGCACGTGTCGGAAGCCAGCCCCGCTTTCTTTTGTGCGCCGACTGCGGGTCTCGCATCACCGCCTCCCGCAAACCCCGAGGGCGTGGTGAGGGAAGCTCTTCGGAGTCAGGCCTCAGCAGCTGTCCTCAGCCCCACTCCTGGGTCTCCGGCCACTGCAGACCAGAGTGGGACCTAGCTTTCTGCTCGAGCAGCTGCTAAGATTTGGGGGCCATCCTTGTGCCCCCTTCTCAGTCTTCCCGGGTTGAGAGAGAGAGAGAGAGGAAATCCCTACTCGGGAACGTGCAAAAGATTGGAAGGAGATCAGAGCAGGAGGCAGGCTCATCGGGCTTGAACAGCTCTGCAGCTGTAATTTTGCGTGTTCCAACCTCCTATCCCTGCAAACCCCGGCCATTCTTTGCGTTGTGTCGGACCTACGCGGCGAATTCCACGCGGCGAAGCCCAGGATTTCGCTGGGACCCATTTTGTCCTCGCCAATGACGAGCTTGGGCCTGCACTTCCAGGGAGCCAGGCAAGGCTGAAACTCGGAGAAGCTCACCTCGGCCTGGCGGATCAACAAAATGCCGGTCCCGGGCTGGAGAGCGAGAGAGCACGGGAATGCGCGCCCCGGGCTGGAGGCAGAGCGCGGTCCGTGGGCCGCGGGCACCCAGAAGCGCTTCTCCCTCTGGACTGCTGCGCGGCGCTTTCCTGCCTGGTCGTTCGTTTGGCTCCTTTTTTTTTGTTTTTAACGTTCCTTAAGGTTGGGGGAAAGGGGGAGGACTCTTAATGTTAAAGGACTTTTAATTTTAAGGCCTGTAACTGACAAAAGATGAACATGAATTCTCTTCCGGACCGGTCTCTCGGTCTGCAAATCTTTCTCCCTTTATGTTTTTGGTTTTGCAAGAGACGGGTTCTTTTAGACGTTGTGCCTGCTGCAGAAAACGATTCCACTCGCGAGTTTTCCTAAACAGAGCTCTGATGACCTCCTGTAATTCGACAAAGAAAAAACAATTCTCAAAAGGACACACTAGGTTTTTGTTGTGTTTTGTTTTTGGTCCGTACCCAATGGCTTCCAAAAATACCCAGGCCTTATCTTTATTGGCTCTTCCAGAAGTCCAGACAAATTTGATGGGCAGCTGGCTTATCATGGGGAGCCTGCGCAGGGCAGATGCGGGCCTTGCCTCCTCGCGGTCTGACGCGGGTCTTTCGCAAGAGCTTGTGCGTGATCATAAAGTAATAGTGATGATTATAACAATCGGACCTTCTTCAGCCTCCTTCAGCCGGGAACGGAGGTGCTGGTAGCTGGAAAGAGGGGGCCCAACTGCTCCCTCTTGTCACTAGAATTGCGCTTCCAACTCTCTCTCTCTCTCTCTCTCT